GTCATTCTAAATGAAACCCTGGAGAAAAGAGCTTGAAATTTTTGCCTTGGGAGAAGTGATTTTTCTGAAGAATAAGATGACAAGGCACAAAATAGTATGCACACGTCGACAGCAAGCTGGTATAAAAGTATGATATGCATTTCAGTTTTGAGAGCAATAGGTGCCACTCTTATGCATTCTGTCACATATGATTATTGTTGAGATCAATCTGTGGATTAAATGCAGAGAAGCCTGTTTACCAATGGAAGCCGCCGGGAGGACATTTCCTAAAACAAAATCCTTACATGATCAATATGATAGAGAGCTGCTTCTGTGTGTATGTGTACCTTGCTTGCTTGCTTGCACAGATATTTCAACACCTGTCCTAGCACAATGCATTGCCTAAGGTCTTTCACAGTATCTTCCTCTAGATCAGGGTTCTTAATTATTTTGTTCCATGGATTCCTTTGAGAGTCTGGGGAAACCTTTAAATTCCTTCTGAGAAATATTTCATTTTATTTATAATTTTACAAAAAAAAACCCAATAACTTAAGATGGTAATATCCATCACACCTTCCTCCTCCTAATTTCTCCACAACTGTGAGATAGGCTGAGGGAACAACTGGCCCACAGTTACACAAGTTGGCTCTCCTGGCTATGGTGGGATTACAGCTCATTGTCTCCTACTCTCTAGTCTGATGTCTTCACCACTACACCAAACGGCTTCTTTATTTAAAGATTTGAAATCAAATACCTAGATATAAATTGTATGACAAAGGAAATGTGTTGAAATAAACTCATCAAAATATTAAAAAATAACAAATATATAATGTAGTGATATATGCAATTCATTATATCAATAACAAGACAAGCTAAATTTAGGTTAAGTGAAAATAAAGCTGTAATGTTCTTTTCCCATCCAAGTTGGTGAGCCTTTTGAAATCTATCTTTAGTCATGGAATTGATGTGCGATAATTTTTCCCATTGGCATATCTCTGGAAATGAACTATGCCTTTGGCTATATATTTGGTTCCCCTTTGTTATTGTTAAAAATGGGCATATAAGTTAAATATGTATACCTAAAAATCAAGAGTTGAATGGCAAATAATGCTACCATCTCCATAACTTTATTTTAAGAAATAGATGTTTTAAGAAAAGAAACAAGAAAATAATCCCTAAAAACAGTTCTTTCATTACCTCTACTTTGTTCTTTACATAATTCCCACTACTCATTGTACATACTTCTCTCAAGAATGGATATGGTTCTTAAAGCTGTTACAAAAACACTCTACACTTTTTCTCTTCAGCCAGGTTCTGACAGTTCTTCCACTTCATCAGAACTGAACAAATGCCCACAAAGATATTTTCTATTTTGGGAAAAGGTTGAAGTCCCATGACATCAACCATGTATCCTTGGCAGATGAACTTAGATGGTGAGTTCCAAGTTCACTGGTACTTTTTGGATTGTTCATGAGGTATGAGGCCTAGCATTGTTAAGTTGCAAAAAAAAAAGAAAGGTTTCTAAATTCTGCTTAATCATTGTTTTAATGTTTCAGTGTTATAGTATAATGGTTTGAGCTGATAGCGATGCCAAGTTTAAGGAAAATCGTGTGAATAATGCCATCACCAAAATATCATCAAAAACTGTAACCATGAGTTTTCTTACCAAAGCCTGGACTTTGATTATTTTTTTAACCACAACTAAAGATTTGTGTCAATATTCCATAGATTGACCCTTACTTTCTGGATCATAATGATGAGTCCATGTTTTGTCTGCTGTCACAGTGCTGCAAAGAACTTTCTCATTCTCATTGTCAACAATTGCGTGTGACAACAATTGCTGGCAAATATCAACTCTTAAGGCTTTCATCTCTGCTGTCAATATGAGATGAACATTTCCAATCTTGAAGGACACCAATAATATGACCCATACGTTCCTGTAAAAGGCCATGCTTGACAGCAATTTTTCTTGGAGTGAATTGCTGATTGTCCTTAATCAGTTCATCAGCCTTTCTCATGTGAAAGACATTAGAAGCTGTCACAGGTTGTGTATCTCATTCTTGATCACACAATTCAGTTCATCTTGTTTTACTGGCTTTACATTTTTTGCTCCAGCAGTGCACAGTTTTCACACCAATTTCATCATCACCATAAGCTACCTACAAGTCAGCTCTGTGGGTAGACTAGACTAAGAAACTAATGCCATATTAGTCTAAAACTTTTTTTTTTTATTAGAATAGCTATACTCTTGCACATCTGAATGTGTTTCCCTCCTCCCTTACTTTATGTTCATTTGAATTAGGGAAGGATCAGTCTGAGGTGTTTTCTCAAGTTTGTTTCTTGAAATGGCCTAAATTGCACTTGTCAGATGATTGCTTTGGTAATGAATCTTCTGACTGACCTTCAAGACCATTTTCTATGCCCACTACATTTTATTTGGTAGTGAATTTCAGTTGGAGGGACTCCTAGACCAGTCAAAAATTAAATTAGGATGCATTGTTCAAACTACACACAAAACTATTTTGCTGGTTTCTACTTGAAAGTTTCAGTTTCATGAACAATAGCATCATGTATGGAGCCATAGTGATATTCTTTGAGAAGTCATCCAGAAGTCAGGAAAGTATAGAACCAGAGGTGGTATTCAGCAGGTTCTGACCAGTTCTGGAGAACCAGTAGTGGAAATTTTAAGTAATTCGGAGAACCAGTGGTAACCTTCCTCCAGGAGTAGGGAGGGAATAGATATTTTACAATATCCTTTCCCTGCCATTCCCACCAAGGCACACCCACAGAACCGGTAGTAACAAAATTTGAATCCCATCACTGAATAGAACATTATAATTTACTACAGTGGTAAATGTAAAGAGAGTTGAACTACAATGCACAGAAGAATGATGAAGAAGGTTGAAAGTTAATGGTTCAACAATAGTTCTATCCTGCATAGATCCAGTAGAAGATACTGACAACTCACTAGAGTTGAAGGCACATGGAAGTCAATCCAATAAACTTCTGTAGGGGATGCTGTCACTAAAGAATCACTATTTTGTCCTTCAATCCCTTTTCAAGATGATGATGATGACAATGATTTTATTATTAACTCAGGATAATAACTGTTTCTCAGTATAACCTGCCCATGAATGTATTTTTAATGGTGAGAGCAGTTTTACAACTCATTGCAATTTAATGCATATGATATGTGCACAGGCATCAAATTCAATCTATCACGTGATGTATTGTGATGTATCACAAGGTTTTTTGCCTTTATGGAGCTGGGGTGGGCATGGCTTGCACATGACACATCCGGCCCGTGTGCTGCCAGTTTGACACCCCGTGATAGTGGAAAGGGAGAAACGATAGAGAAAGAGAGGGAAATCATTTCTAATTCTTAACCACTCTGTATTTTTTTTTAAATCTCTCCCTAGAAAAAGAAAGAAACAACAAGAAAAAGAAGCAAGAGATGAAGTAACATCAGTTTGGGTAAATTAATTCACACCATATTTTATTTGATAAATGCCAAAGTTATAGATGAAAAACACTAAAGAAGAGGCCAGGCATCCGAAACAAACAATGGCTTACTTATTGATTGTCACACAATTAGTAGGAAGACTTTTTCTTGCAACTATTTGTCTTTGCAGCTTTTGATTCTGCCACCCACAAGGGGCTCCCACACAGCTCATTACATAACTTCTGGACAGGATAAAGCAGGTACTGCTGATTTCTGTAGCACATGAATCAAAATGCCAATGTGCCTTTGCCCACCTACAAACTCTGGGGAAAGTTGTTTCAGATGCTTTGTTCCTTAGGAAAAACAACTTCTGAGGATGCACAGATATTAAGAATGGTCATTTTCATTAAACTGTAGGAAGAAAAAAAAATAACCTACCTGAAAAGGTCCAGCAGAGAGAAACTTTATCAGAGGGGAAAAAAAAGAATATTATTCTGCATCTTTATATAGCTGTAGGAAGCATCGCACTACTGGTCCATATACAGGTAGTCCCAAGGGTAGGATTTAACCGGTGTTACTACTGGCTCGGTGACTACATTTTGTGCATAACTAGCGTTACTACTGGTTCAGTGACTACGATTCTATAGAACCGGGCAGAACCGGTAGCATTCCACCCCTGGGTAGTCGAGTTACAACAACTCATTCAGTGACTGTTCAAAGTTACAACAGCACTGAAAAAGTGACTTATGACCAATTTTTACAATTTTGACTGTTACAGCATCCCCATAGTCATATAATCAAAATTCGGACACTTGGCAACTGACTCATATTTATGACAGTTACAATGTCCCGGGGTTATCCTATCACCTTTGTGACCCAAAGGCACTTTTTTCAAAAGGCAACTGGAATTTGCTTTTCCTTGAAGACATTTCTCTTGTTATCCAAGAAGCTTCTTCAGTTCTGACTAAATGGTGGAGGATTGACGGATTTATATTCCTTGCAGTCATTTGGTTCAGAGGTGTTCAGCAGGTTCTGACCAGTTCTGGAGAACTGGTAGCGGAAATTTGGAGTAGTTCAGAGAACGGGCAAATACCACCTCTGACTGGACATTTAACGGTATCCTTCCTCTGCCACACCCACCAAGCCATGCCCACAGAACCGGTAGTAAAATTTTTTGAATCCCACCACTGATTTCATTGTTAACACTCTTTCTGAGAGTCGTTGAGGCTGCTTGTAGGTTTATCTGTGCCCTCAGGGTCACCCGAACAGTTCAAATGAGTGTGGAACCTTCTTGGAACTATTGAAAGGACTGTGTTGTAAACAGTACATAGATGGCATCAAATCCAGTTGTCTTTTGAAAAAAAGCACCTTTGGACAACTATGGATGACTGACAATCTCCATAGATGTCTTTTGTGACCGTTTGCCTAGCAAAGTCAGTGGAGAAGCTAGATTCCTTTAACAACGATGTTACTAATTTAACAACTGCAGTGATTCCCTTAACAAATATGGCAAAAAGCTTGTAAAACGAAGCAAAACTCACTTAACAACCATCTCATTTAGCAACAGAAATGTTGGGCTGTGCTCGCTTTGGCAGCACATATACTAAAATTGGACCGATACAGAGAAGATTAGCATGGCCCTGTGTAAGGATGACACGCAAATTCATGAAGCGTTCCATAATAATAATAATAAAAAAAGAAATGTTGGGCTCCATTGTGGTCGTAAGATGAGAACTACTACCTGTAAAAGTTTTGGTTTTCCTTAAAATTCAGCCTTCATGGAAAGAAGGCAGGCAGCTATGTCAGCAAATATTGCTTCAGCAGAATATTTTCCTTGTTCTTGGGAGACAGTGAGAGGGATGATTCTCCATGGAGAAGATTGGGCAGAAGAAAATAATTAGGCCTGAACTCTTTGAAGAGGAAGTGGGGCCTAGAGGGACAGGGCAGGATCTCCTGACATTAACAGGATAGATACAGTGGTGGGATTCAAATGTTTTTATTACCGGTTCTGTGGGCATGGTTTGGTGGGCGTGGCTTGGTGGACATGGCTTGGTGGGCATGGCAGGGGAAGGATGCTGTAAAATATCCATTCCCACCCCACTCTAGAGGAAGGATACTGCAAAATCCCATACCCTCCTCACCCCAGTAACCTGCTTTCCAGCTATGCAGGTCAACAAAAGAAGATCCAGCTGATCAGCTGCACCTCGGAAGGCAGAGAATAGATAAGTCGGGGCCAGTCAGAAGTGATATTTGCCAGTTCTCTGAACTACTCAAAATTTATGCTACTGGTTCTCCAGAACTGGTCAGAACCTGCTGAATACCACCTCTGGATAGATGAGAGACCACCTCAGTTTGGTTTCAGGCTTGCAGGTTAAACAATATGGAGCTATGACGATTATTTGCAGATAGCCTATCCCAGAGTAGTTCAAACTTAAATAGGATTGTTGTGTGAATCCAATAAAGGTAAAAATCATTGGGAAGGTTATACCACAGAAATGATGAGGGAGCAGGTTCATCTTGTGGTAACTCAGAGGTCAAACTTTCTTATTAGTCTTTGTGGTTCATTAGAATGTATTTCTTGCTAAACCCTTTGTTAGATTTGTTAAAAAAGACACAACGTATCCTATTGTTAAACTTATATTAAATATTGATTATAATTGTTTTTATTATTGTTTGCATTGTTTTTAACATTTCAGGTTTTAATTTGGATTTTAACAAAATTAGGAGACCTCCATTAAGTAACTGTACAATGAAAATATAATTAAGAATTGGGGATAACCAAAACATTGCATTATGTGTTGTATGCCACCTTTTTTTATAGAGACCTCCAGAATACATATATTTACCTATTCATAACACAATACATGTAGTCTTCCTTTAGTGACTGCCTCACTTTAGGACAGTTCACAGTTATGATGAAAAAATAATGTTGTGACCAACCCTTGCATTTATGACTTTTGCAGGGTCTGAAAAGCAAAGTAAAGCTGAAGTAAGATCATAAACACAGTCACAGTTTCACTTACCGACTGCTTAATTTGCCATTCCTAACTGTGGTTGCTAAATGTGGGCTACCTATATGCAAGATTTTCGTAGGCATTTTGGTGTCGTAGGCAAAGTCACATTCTGGAGTTCCCTATGGTTTGACTTATTTTCTGATTTTGCTAAGAAGTTTTTTTTTTTTTTAATGTCCTCTTGTTTGTTTTCCCCTTCTTTGGGTTTTTGAGCTTTACATTATGATTTTCATCCCAGACAATTTTTTTTCTCAGTCATTTTCACCCTCCTTATACAAGTAAGTAATTTTAGTTACATCATCACCCATTGTTGTCATATGGCAACAATTCTGCAAAATTATATTTAATCCTCAAGTGGGCTCATGAGTGCACCATTATTCCTTTTTCAATTTTTTCAATTGTGTTTTTTAGTCTTTTCAATTTTGACACCCCTTGAAATTTGGCGCCTACTCATATAGCCTGGAGCCAGCCCTGATTATATCCAGACAAGACAAAAGCTGGATGATCTTAGTTTTTTGTAGTCGACCAGGAAAGGAGAGGAGGATTACAGACACTGTAAATCAATTCTGTATCCAGGCTGTGATCAAATGCAAACAACTTCTCCAGGTGATGTTGAGTCCTGCTAGGTTGTTCTCTCCCTTCCTCCCTCTTTCTGTCTCTCTCTCTGTCTCTGTCTCTTCGTCTCTTTCTGTCTCTCTGTCTGTCACTGTGTTCCCCCCTCTTTCTTTCTTTCTCTCTCTGGTTTTTTTTCCCCAGTCTCTCTCTCTCTCTCTCTCTCTTAAATTTTCATATATTATTCCAATGATACTATGTTTTACCTTGCTATTTTCTCATTTCTGGTTGGTTGGATTGTAACTGCAATAGTCCCAGTGAAATCTTGATTGGCTACAGCCAGTACTAGACACATTAGAAATTAAGGTACTACTAAATTATTATGGTATCATGTTAGAATCTGTTATTCCTTATATATATTTTTAATAGTCCTCGACTTACAACAGTTCATTTTGTGACCATTCAAAGTTACAATGGCATTGAAAAAAGTGACTTATGACTGTTTTTCAGAGCTGCGATGTTTCCAGCATCCCCAAGATCATGTGATCAAAATTCAGATGTTTGGCAACTGGTATATATATATTTATGCTGTGTCCCAGGAACTTGCGATCCCCTTTTGTGACCTTCTCACAAGTAAAATCAGTGGGGAAGCCAGATTCATTTAACAACTAGGTAACTAACTTATCAACTGCAGTGATTCACTTAACAACTGAGGCAAGAAAGATCGTAAAATGGGGCAAAACTCAACAAATGTTTCACTAAACAACAGAAATTTTGGGCTTAATTGTGATCCTAAGTTGAGGACTACTGTACTTATCTGGATGAATTACTTTTAACATTTGGGCTTAGAGTAATTCCCTGGTTATGTATATTTAATTCATTCTTAATTTTCATTTATGCAACATTTTACTCCTATTTCTGTTTTGCATTGTTTTTTATGCTATTTGTTTTACTGACACTGAAATAAATTCAAATAATTTAATTAAGATTTATAATTAATTATAGGGAGTAAGAGTAAATTAAATGATACATTCCAGCTCCCATTGTACTTTACTTTTTTTATCAAGATTCTGAACTAATTTCAGTTTGTATGCAAAGTCCAGAGAGGAACACTTTCTTTTATTGACTAATAGCTTGGTATAGAATGCTAATGTCCCTGCCTTCTTGACATTTGCTTTGTGGTTAAAGTAGCTCTTAAATACTGTTGCGTTTTATTTATTTATTTATTTATTTTAGCATTTATATAGCCACCCAAACCAGAACATGTGACTTGCAATGATATACAAAAAAGAAAACCATAAACAACCAATGCAATCACCCATCTCATTATACAGTATATTCATTTTGAATAGAAATACATAAGTAAATTTTTCACAGCTAATATACCACAAATAAAACTTATAGAAAGTTAACTACATAGCTGGTCAGGTTATATAGGATTTTTATAAATGGAGCCAGTAGAATGTGAGAATGTAACATGAGTCATTTCCTTTTAAATCTCAAACAAAATTCAATATATGAAGAAGTATGCAGTTTATTCCCATATTATTCATTCTCACTTTACATGCAAGGCTACACTAAGATAGGGATCATAGTATAAGATATTAAACTGGTATGAGAAAATAGGTTTATTTGTACTGGATGTTTGGTATTGAATCAGACATTTTTCTAACAGTCAACATAGATTTAGTTAAGTGTTTTTCCAGTGGGACTGGTCTACAGGGCAAGCTGGTCTACCCATATATGGGTTGGAACACACTGTTTCTGCTTTCACCTTTCAGCCCCAATGTCAGCGTTCCAAGTAACAAACTCCAACCCAAAAGTCTCTGAGACACAAAGCTTCTCAAATTTCTTAGAGTTGTCATATTGGCACATCTGGGAAAACCTGAATCTGAGAGTTCTGGCTTTTCCCTTGGTAACTGAACTTTCAAAACCCCCATCCTCTGCACCCATCAGTCCATCACATGGCCCAATCACTGTCCGTCCAAACTGGAGACCTTCATCTAACCACTCCTTTTCCAGGTGCAGGATGACATGTCCCTTGACTGAGAATAAGAACGTTGTTTTGACTAACAACCTCCACTTTATGAAATCCCCCTCCCAATTTCCCAAGCATTGGAATATGGCAGCGTGGAAGCTTCTGAGGCTAATATGGCTTCCAAAGCTGACACCCAATCCAGGAACCTCCACAGTTAGTTGTTCTCGTGACAAACTATTTTTTGTGTTGAATTATATTTTACCGACAAAGAAATAAAGGGAGACGAGTATACTGTAGATCTATTTCAAATTATTTAGCTCTCGTCAGCTAGTCATACCCTTTCTGAAATTTCCAAGATGGCCTCAAACAAGATATGGTTATAGTAGGACTGTCTCATAGTGGAAGTTTCATTTCAGTGTGACTTGGCTGAACCCTAGTAAGAGCCAGTAGCCTGGGTTTTATGATCCATCTCTTTTTAACAGATCCTGTGTATAGTTTAGAAATCCTCCTGGACTCATGCCTCTAACTCCTGGAGCTAGGAGGGTCTTTGCACATGTTTGCATTGTGCACCAGTTGTTTATACCCATTATTGGACCAGGAAGCTCGGCTGATGGTCACTCACACTTTAGTAACTTCCTGCTTGGATTATTGAAATAGGCTCCAATTGAAGACAATTCAGAAACTTTAGCTGATGGAAAATACATTGGTGTGGGCAGTTGTGTTGGTTTCTCAGAACTTATGCCCGGTGGTAGGATTCAATTTTTTTTTACTACCAGTTCTGTGGTCATGGTGGGCGTGGCTTGGTGGGCGTGGCCGGGAAAGGATACTGTAAAATGTCTATTCCCACCCCACTCCAGAGGAAGGATACTGCAAAATAACAGATAACAGATAATCAGAGTTGGAAGGGACTTTGTAGGTCATCTAGTCCAACCCCTCACCCAAACAGGAGACCCTACACCATTTCTGACAAATGGCAGTCCAATCTCTTCTTGAAAGTCTCAAGTGATGACGCTCCCACAACTTCTGAGGGCAAGCTTTTCCATTGGTTGATCTCCATTCCCAGCCCACTCCAGGAGAAGAATTCTGCAAAATCCCCATCCCCTCCACACTCCTGGGGGAAGGTTACTGCAAAATCCCATTCTCT